CTAAGGAGGAGAGCTGTGTGAGATGCAGGGCCTAGCAGGGAGAAGGGAAGACCTGCTTGTTGCCCACCTGTGGAGGACACCTCTTCCTTGCAGACTAGGGCTAAGGGCTGTGTCTTTGTTATTCAGTTCTCTTTCCTCCTAAGACCATATCTCTGTATCCAGCTGGTTTTGAAAGATACTGGCCTAGCATAACCCCTGCCACTAAGCAGGTGCTGCAGAAATATTTGGTAATGAATAAGCAACTGTTTGTTTACACATTGTGTAGTAAGGTAGCAAAAGCACGGACTTTGGAGACCAGCTAGATCTGGTTGAAATCACTAAGTAGCATTACCACTTGCCAGCTGTGTGATTTTGGCCTTTTGACCTCTCTGAGCCTCCTTTTCCTCATCTGTAAAATGGAGCTCATAGTGTTATTGTGAGGATTCGATGAGCCAAGATAGGGATGCGTAGTGCAATGTGTAGTAGGTGATACAATCTTAACAGAGTTGTTAGTTGTGTTACCATGGGTATTTTACATGAATTCTCCAAACCTGTTTCCTCACTCTTGTCATAAAAATTCAGCTGGGTGCTGGTGGCTCATGCCTGTAATCCTAGCTACTCATGAGGCAGAAGTCAGGAGGATCGAGGTTGGAAGCCAGGCAGGGCAAATAGTTTGAGAGACCCTATCTTGAAAAACCCTTCACAGAAAAGGGCTGGTGGAGTGGCCCAAGATGGAGGCCCTGAGTTCAAATCCCAATTCCTCAAAAAAAAAAAAAAAAAGGCAGAAGTCAGGAGGATCGAGGTTGGAAGCCAGGCAGGGCAAATAGTTTGAGAGACCCTATCTTGAAAAACCCTTCACAGAAAAGGGCTGGTGGAGTGGCCCAAGATGGAGGCCCTGAGTTCAAATCCCAATTCCTCAAAAAAAAAAAAAAAATCGGGAGGTGGGTCACCCAGTACAAAGCACTCAGTAAATGTTAGCCCACCTCCTCTCCTAAGCCCTTCTCATCTCCACTTCTTCAAAGTTTCTCTCCTCCCCACCCCTTAGCCCCTATGATTCCTGTTACCTCCCCTTGTCACTGGATGAGGGACGAGGGGGTTCCCTTAGCTTCCCAGTTTCCACTCAAAATCACAGGTCCTTGAGATCCACATGTGTAAATCATTTCAAGGTGTTTCACATGGTGGAAGTTTTAGTAAGGTTTACATTAGCATAACAGGATAAAGTAGGAAGAAATTTAAAAAAAGAGAGAAAAACCACCTCTTGCTAGAAGTGTAGGGATTGGAGACCAGCTAAAAAATGGTGGCCCTTTTGTGAGTTCTATATGCCCCGAGCTGGGAAAAATACCTGTTATCAAGTTGAGGCTTAGCAACCCTTAATCATTAGACACATGGTTCTGGGTGGCCAAGATGGGTGCTGTTTATTATTCTAAAACATGGAGATGTGATCTAGGCCATCTGAAACACAGGGACAATAAGTGTTTTAGGATTTCCTTTTGCTAGACATGCCTTTCACTCTTCTTCCTCTTTACCCATCCAAGGAGCCTTGTGGCTTCTTAACATCTCAAAGGGAAATACAGATGTAGATTGCCTCTGTCAGTCTCCTTATTTTTGTAACTTAACATCTAAAAGGAGATGATGACCAGGATTGGTATAATACTAGCTACTTAGGAGCTAGAGATCAGGAGGATGTGGTTCGAAGCCATCCTGAGACCTTATCTTGAAAAAACCCATTATAAAAAAAGGGCTATTGCAGTGGCTAAAGGTGTATAAAAAATAAAAAGAGGTGATGGCAGGGATGCTTGCTTCTCTGTTTTTTTCAGCTTTTACTTCCTGGTTGCAAATACGGGCTTTTTCATATTTATTAAAAATAATATAATTTCCCTGTCTTCTCACCTGTCTATCCTGCCTCACTCCCAGCCTCTGTCTGTCTGACTCTCCCAGCACAAAGCTTACCAACTTTTGCAGTCTGCCCGCTGCTCAGGGCTTGGCTCTGCTGGGGTCTGGGAGTGCGGTGGAACTGGGTTACAGTGTGTAGTAGGTAATACAGAGCAGAGTAAGCACAAATTTCCACTCTTCTCACTCCAAATGCAGAAGTTTTCAATAGCATCCCTGCGTAGCTGAGCCTTGGTGAAATGAGGGTGTGGGGAGCTAGGCAGGCGGCAGACAGAAGTGTTCATGCAAGCAAGATGGAGTGTCCAGAAGTCAGCTGTGGGAGGGGATGCAAAGTTGCTGCTCGGGCAGCAGAGCTGGTTCCCATGTGGGTGACTGCGTTAGTGCCAGACTGGACCACAGGTCTTGGCTGGCCAGGCCGCAAACACCCTCTGGGCCTGGGAAGAATGGACAGCTTTGGCTTTGCATGAGGTCACGTTTCTCTGCCCTGGGCCCTTGAGTGCGATTGCATAAACCATACACGATAAATGTGCTCAAGTTCCCTGTTTTGAAAAGTTGGGAAAGGGTTTGGGGAGATTTCATCTGCAGCATCTGTTGAACTTCAGAATGTCAGATATTTACATAGAGCAAATAGAAACTATTCTGTTCTAGGCAAGCTGTGACACCCAGTGAGGAGACTGAGGGGGAGAAGTCTCTCATCTGCACTCTCTCTAGCGGGCTCCCGGGTCTGACCTTAGGACTGATGTCCTGAGAGGGATAGGAGCCAGTCAGGACTCAGCCAGGCCTGACCTCACCCAGGCCATGCGGGGAGATGTTTATTTACCCTGGGATGAGAACCTGGAGGCCAAACCTGGGAATACATAGGACAGCCTAGCCAGTGAACTCCCTGGGGTTAGTGGAAAATGGACAAAAATAAGATACAGCCATCCTCCAAGTGGAGTAGGGGCTGGGAAGAACCTGATAACAGCAGGGAGGAGCCAGTGGGGGATTTGCATCCTCTCATTTCTCATGGCATGTGCAGGGCCAGCTGAGATGCGTTATTCTGGAGCAGCTCTGGCTGTTCTGCAGGCAGAGCTCTTGTCTGTATTTCTGGATGGGCCCAAGACAGGACGAGTGCAGGGACAGCTGCCAGGTGGATGATCCTGGGCCTCTGAGACATCCGCTCCAGTAGGGTGGGGGGGTTGGAAGACTTGCTCTTAATCTCTCTGGAGCCAAGGGACTCAGACCCAGGAAACTTGGCTATTTCTGACCCTGCAAAAAAGGCCACGGACCCAGTGTCTTTAAGAATAATAAAACTCTCTTTTTCCTCCCCTGAGATTGGGAGGCCTGGGGAAGTGGGTGCAAGTGTGCACATGTATATATATGTACATGGAGCCATCCATCTGCCCACTGAAGATACTCTCTAGAGCTGGTCCTCAGTGTCTATTCCCCAGACCCACTCCTGCCCCAGCTCCCCACTCAGAATTGCTCTCTTCTCTTCCTCATCTCCTTTACCTCAGACCACCCCCATCCCATAGGCCTATTTCTTCCCTTCCTACTGTTCACCCTCAATACAGAAAAGCATCTTGAGTACCTGACTCCCAGAGAAGCTGGTCTAGCTTTCTTTTTTGAAGAGATCAGGGCTCAGGGGTGAAGCTCAGTTGGTAGAATGCTTGCCTAAAGCATTCTCAGCTTTACCAAAACCAAACCAAACCAAATCAAATCAAAACCCAAAAAAGAACTGCCTGATTTCCTTTGTATTTCACTCATACACCACGGCAAGGACAGGAACAATCTGTGGGGACCAGGGAAGTTCTCCTTAAGGATTCGTGCCTGCCAGGGAAGAGCTACATAGACTGGACTGAGGGGTTCAAGTGGCTGTAGCAAGGTCTGGTGGGAAGTGCTCTGGATGGGACCTCAAAACACTGGGTTCAAGTTCTAGCACTGCCAAGGGCTAAGGAATTGAACTTGGTTGCCTTGAAGCTAGTAACATTTTTTTTTACTTACCATTTCTTAAACATCTCCCAAATGATTACCAACAAACACATAAACAAACGTTGCTAAATATTTTACTTATATGAATTTCTTCCTCACCAGTATCCTAAGAAGTAGGTACTATTGATAACCCCATTATACAGATTAGGAGACAGAAGCGTGGTAGTAGAGCTGGGTTTGAACCAGGCCATCTGGCTGAAAAGTGTGAGCTCCCAATCACCACACTCAATATTTCAGGCACCGTGTTGTTTACCAAATCCTCTCCATTTTGCACTTGAGAAATCTGAGACTCAGAGCAGTTGAGCAACAACTGAAGGTCACACAGCTGGGGAGCAGTAGAGTTGAGATTCAAAGTCAGCCAGGCTCCAGAGCCTCTGCTCCCCACCACCCTCCTGCAGCCTTGCCAGACACTCGGACCCCCATGGCCAGTTTAAGCAATCTCTAGAGGCATTGGATGTCTCCAGTTCCTCCCTCTGGATTTCATTTTCACCATTTAGAGAGTGATGGGGGTCAGCCCGCTGATTTCTGAGTTCCTTTGCAGCTCTGAGTCTGATTGGAAAGGCATGGTGCGTCTAGCTGGAAGGACAGCTTCCTGGCCTGGGAATGCCTTTAACTTGGCCTGTGGTTGCAGCCACAGGGAATGAAGGGTTCAAGGACCTGAGAATGGAGTGGAGGGGAAACTTCTGGAAATTGTAGAAGGGCTGGGAACCTGGAAAGATGGGGCAGTTGTATTGGAGAGGGAGAGGGAGAGAGTGAGAGGGGTGGGGGTGGAAGAGAGAAAGAGAGAGAGAAAGAGAAAGAGGAGAGAGAGAGAGAGAGAGAGAGAGAGAGAGAGAGAGAGAGCGAGCCCATGGGCTTCCTGGGGGTCCTTTCCTTTCTTCCTGGGAGGTCACCCCAAAGCTTAGGATAGGCACATGAGAGCATTGGGCAAAGAGGGATGGGAGTCAGGCCAGCACTGAGCTGAGGTCGGAACTTCTGAGACACAGCAGTTTGGAGAATTAACATTGCTGGGGGTTGCATTGTCTTTGTAAATATTTGGAGACATCGAGTTATTCTAGAAAAATGTATTTGAAGCCGGGGTGGCGTGTTTGTGCGGTTGGCCTGGCTTCCTTTTCCATGACCGCTCTGTTACATTCCTCCCCTGCAGGAATTGAGGGTTGTTTTCCCATCTGTAACCTCATTAGGATGTACACACACCCACACGCGCTTGGGCAGGTTCCCCTTGGGAACACGCATGCGCAATGGCATCACTATGGACTCACGTGTGCACCGAAACACAGTTACAGCTGCATCTTTTAATATTTAATGGCATCACCGTGAACACTACTGCATACTGAGGGTGCCACTTCCCAGCCTGGTGGTTGCCTGACAAATTGTGTTAAAATCCTTCCAGAGGAGGGTAATGCACCCCTGTCCCCAGGAAGGTACTGTCAATGTGCCTACTAGAGAATGGTATCATAACCAAGCAGGCTCCATTTTCAACCAGGATCTTTTCAATTGGGAAAATTGATAGTGTCACCTTTTTGTGCAAATGTATCAGTACCCCCTCACCCCCAGGCCCATAGTGATTAGGGTGCCAGGTGTTCAGACACCTTCCCAGGTATCACAAGTTGTACTAACTTCTCTGTTTGGGACAAGTCAGGGCTCTGGGTGTCCAGTGACCTGGACACCTGGTCCATGTGTGTGGCACCGTTCTCTTTCCCTGCTTTCCACAATGGGCATCTACACTGCTATGGTTTAAATGTGTGTGGTGTTCAACATTCACAAACTGGAGTTTAAACCCCAAGGTGATGATATTAGAGGGAGAGTCTTTTTAGGTAATTAGGTAATGATGAATAGAATAGAACTGATGTCCTTATAAAAGGGCTGGAGGGAACTAGTTCAGCTCTTATCCTCTTTGTCCAGGCTCCAGAACTGTGAGAAACACATTTCTATTGTTTATAAATTATCTACTCTGTGGTATTTATTTTGTTACGGCAGCATGAACTCACTAATACATATGCCATGGAGGACCCTTATTACTACTGACCAGTAGGGAAGGTCCTGGGTGTTCCTAGCTATCAAGCATCCAGCAAAGGGTCTCATACATCCTGTCTCATCAGTCCTATCCTAGACCCCTTAGTCTGGAGTGCTGTGACTTCTGAGCCCAGGGACCATCCCTTCAAACACCACTGCTGGGAGGCTGAGGGGACTGAGAGGGCCAGGGGCTCTACTTCCTGGCTGCACTGGGACAGACAAGCTGACCAGGATGAAAATGCCATGCTGGTAAGGGTAGAGGGAGTTCCCAGACACAGAAGTTACTGGGAAATTACTTTGGTCTTTCCAAATCTTACTCAGAGTGGCTTCTCTGGTTCATTGCTGATGGAATAGGCCTGGGTCCCATCCCATGTGCTCTGGAAGAGTGTTCACAAGACAGATATCCTGTCCTCACCCTCCTTCCTCCTCTCAGCTTCCTGGGCTGTGTCATTTGGAGGAGCTCAAAGCACAGCTCAATGACCTCGTGTTTCTGAGTTCTCTGAGAACTGAAGGCTGGGGTGGTGGGGCATGGGATGGTCAGGTGGGGTGTGGGGGATTGCCAAAGAAACAGTCATTTGCCATTTAGCAAAACAAATTTTCCCCTTTCTTTTAAAGCTGTTGTTTCCTCAAGGGAAAATTTTTATTTGTGTGTGAGTAAAATGTGCTCTCTTAATGAATTGAAAGCAGAACCTAAGAGAGTTTTTCTGTTTTTGTGATAAAGAACAAAGAAGAAGCTCACTGGTCTTCGGCAGCTGACACCTTTACCTTCCCTCACTCCTGACCTTTCCCCCATGTTCTCCTCCTGGTGGTTCCATGGTTTTGGTCAGGCTGTGGAAACACCACCACCTCCCTGTGGAGAGCAAAGAAGGAGCATCCAGGGAGGCACAGGTGCGCTTTGAGAGAGTTTGGAGGCTGCCATTTCTTGGTGGCTTGCACTGACAGCGGAAAAGAGAGATGGAGGAAGGAAATCAGATGGTTAGTCTGACTGGTTGATGGCTTTCTTTCCTTGATAAGCCAACAAGTCTCCTGCCATCTTGTTCTTAGAGACAAAGCCTAGTTTTCTGGAAGAAAACCCCTGAGTCTCTGCCCTCTTCTGCCCTTGAGTCTCTGGGTTGTCTTCTTTCTAGGTCAGAAGAAGTTTCATTCACGGGACTCAGCAGCTGACTTCCACCACCCTAGCGCCTACCAGCCCCATCCCCTTCACTCCAGGGGTGTAGATGGTTTCTTAACTTTCACTTTTGGCTGTTGGTTTGGGGACAACAGCTGTGGTTTGGGTGTGTTACTGGTTCTGGCATTAGGTTCTCAGTACGTCTCTCCCAACTTTGGTTGAGGTAGCATGGGTTGGTATTAGCTGTCTCCTGGGCCAAAGGTCAACCTGAATGGCCAGAACTGCTCTTCTTTCAGCAGCTTTTAGATGGGTCTTGAGTCATTGCATTTGCTCCCCAGGAACCCTGGGAGAGGTCTTTCTAGTTTGAGCAGAAGAGTCACCTATGGGGAGAAGGTGGTGGTGGTCTCAGCCTCCACACTCATAGAGGCACGCCGTGTGTACCGGCACGAAGACCACTGCCGGAGCTGCTCCTGGCTGAGGCAGCCCAGGTCCTTGAAAAGCTTGAAGAGGTCATTGCGGAACTTGACTCCGATGAAGGCATATAAGAAAGGGTTGACACAGCAGCGGACACAGGCCAGGCTGAAGGTGACATCGTAGGCAATATCAAGCTGCTTGCTGAGCTCGCAACTGCTTTTGGTGATGTTGAAGTTGGCCACTGTCTGAGCCAGAATCACCCCATTGTAGGGCAGCTGGAAGACTATGAAGACCACGACCACAGCAATGATCACCTTGATGGCCTTATTCCGCTCGAAGTTTCGTGCCTGGAGCAGGGTGCGGATGATGACGAGGTAGCAAAAGCTCATTGCCAGCAGGGGGACCAGAAAACCAATCACCATTTGGGCCACCTGGATAGTGATCAAGGCTGCCACATGCTCGGTGATGAGCGAGCATCGCCACGTGTGCTCGCTGGTGCTCCTCTGAAGGCCGCTGTAGAGGAGCTCGGGGGTGGACAGCAACAAGGCCAGCACCCAGATGGCCACACAGGAGAGCTTGCTGATGAGGAGCACGCGGGCACGGTGGCGGTGGGCGGACACGGCCTGGACGATGGCCACATAGCGGTCAATGCTGATGCAGAGAAGTAGCAGCATGCCACTGAAGAAGCTGATCTTATAGATGACCAAAAATGCACTTGCACAAGTAGCCACCAAAGATCCAGGACTTGGCTGCACTGTAGGCCCAGAAGGGAAGGGCCAGGAGGAAGAGGATGTCTGCCACAGCCAGGTTGAGCAGGTAGGTGTCAGTCATGGTCTTCAGCCTCTTGAAATAAATATAGGTCAACACCACCAGCCCATTGCCCAGCAGGCCCATGAAGCAAATTATGGAGAACATGACTGGGAGGAACCAAGCCTTAAAATTCCGCACGTCTTTCTTAAAGCACACACTTTCGAACAAGGTGTAGTCCACCGTGGTGTTGTCACCAGTGTAATCATCCGTGGCTTCATCTTGGCACAAGCACACCTTTGGGGAAGGAAACAAGAGAGTAACAGTTCAGTTTAGCTTGGTGGGTGTAAATCTGGCTGGGATTTAACTGAGAGCAGTGGTTCCAATGTCTGTCCCCATCATCAGCCCCAACTGTGAACTTGCCAGACATGCAAATTCTCGGATGTCTTCTGAGACCTGCTGAATCAGTAGTTCAGAGGGTGGGGCCCAGGAATCTGTATTTTTCTGAACTCTCTGGGTGATTCTTAGCTTTGAAATTAATACTTCTTGGGCTGGGAGAATGGCTTAAGTGGTAGAGAACTTACCCAGCAAGTGCAAGGACCTATATTCAAACCCTAGTACCACCAAAAAACAAAACAAAACAAAACAACAGAAAACCCACGACAAAACCAAAACAATGAAATTAGCACTTCTCAAATTTTAGCATGTGCACGAATTACCTGGGGACCTTGTTAAAATGCACTTCTTGATTCTGTAGGCTGAGGCAGGTCTGAGACTCTACATTTCTATTAATCAGTAGCAAAGGTCTGAATTTGCCAACTCAGAGACACTTAGTAGTACATGAGCTGATGGTGGACTGGAAATAGTGTGAGCCTTGGAATCCAATGAGCCTTGAGCTGGTTAAACATACTTCCTCTCTCCTGTCTCCTTACTTCTTTTCCTGTTTGTTGAATGGAGAATTCTGTCTCCTGCGCACAATTGTGGTGACCTACCTGGCCCAGGTTCTGGTTCCCTCTTATGTGTGCAGAGGTTTTATTTTGCCCTCTGGAAACTTGTGAGGTTGGGAATGGGTGCCTTTATTTTGGAGCCTCCTTTAGATGCTGGTGGAGTTTTCAAGAGGGCTTACAAAATGCCTCAGATTTTGAGGGAAAAAATGTACCTGGGGTCCAGGTGGAGGAGGCTCTGTAGTAAGAAGGGAGGAAGGCAAAACTCCTGGAAAGAGGCTATACAGTGTGTGTGCAAGAACACCAAATTCCCTTCTGAGAGTGGGGACTGAATGACAGGGCCTAGGGGTGGATGCAGCTGTGACTGCATCCTTATGGGCAGCTATGCCCCTGGAAGGAAGTGTGGCTCTCTTTTCCCTCTCTCCCTCTGTGCTCTCATTCTCTCCTCTGTGCCTCTGTCTTCCGGCAGATCACAATCAGCAGGACTCAGCTGCTCTGGGCTTTTTTTAGCCTGTCTGCTTGCCTGGTGGTGAAGGTTCAGCAGCCTGCTGTGATTTTATCAATGGAGGGGCTCCTGCTGCCTGTGCCTCCATGCACAGTGATTGATGGGCCTGCTCTGCAGGGCGGGGACCTGGGCTGGAAAGCACTGACCTCAGGAGGCTCATAGTTCTTTCTCTGGTAACTGGGCTCTTAGCAGCTCAATGATAATCCAAGTTCTGCAATCATCACTGTCTGGTCTGGGGACAGGAGCCTTTTCTTTGGGCATTGCTAGCTTGAGAAGAAAAGTCAGTGGCAACTCCTTTTGACTATTTTGGGTATGGCTGCAGCCTGGGAATCTTGGAAGAGGCTGGCTGGCTTTGGCCTTCTCATGGTAAGACCCAAGGCCTTGGGTATGGGGGTCCCTGGACTTAAAGAGGCTTCTAGGCCTTGCTGGAATCCCTCAATTCCAGCAAGGAATTGGAGCCTCCCAATCCCTATGAAGTGTGCTTCCCCCACCAAGTCCTGCCTTCTCTCCTCCTCCCTGCCTTGCTCCTCCCCTCCAGCCTTGAAGCCTCTGCAGCCCACAGCCCCACCACATCCGGCCCTGTCTAAGGGGATGGGGGGGGGAAAGTGAAAGAAGAAAGAGTCACAGCTGTCTTTATCCCCTCCCCTGTCTTCCAGCCAGCAGTACAAGAGGGGAGGGAGTGGTGATGGGGAAGGGGGCCAGGCTGAGGGTTGCAGCCCATGCTCTGGGGGATCTTTGGGATGGAGTTTTAGGAAGAGTGCCCAGCTGGGGCCTGCCTCTGGCCTGAGCTTCTGGAAAGTTGCCCCTCTGGCCTTCAGACCTGGGGGAGAGCCAAATTCTGAAGCACTGCCTCTCCAGGCTAGCCTTGGCCAGCCCCCCACCCCCCCAAGAGAGTTCCCATCCTGACAAACAGAGGAAACTTGACTCCACGAGTTACAGTTTCCTCTAACTCCAGCACTTGGTGGGGTGTACCTTCTGGAACTGAGAAATGGAAACTTGCAAGTTGGGGAATCTTTTCTCTTGCAGAATTCAGGCCCTTATAAAGTATGTGCTTCATCCATAACCCTCTTCCCAGTGTCTCGGCCCTATCCTTCCCCCCATACCACCCCCCCCCCCGGCCAAATAGGTTCCCATTTCATGAGAGAGAATTGGGTTATAGAGGAGTCTTTGAATAAAGGGGAGATAACTTGAGGGTGGTAGGCTAGTAACCAGGTCACTAGACCAGGGTACTTTTCTCAGTTCACAGGTGGCGTAGCTGTGTATGCATAGGTGCAAACCAGGTTCCTTCACAGCCTTTGCACTTGGCAGCTCTGTTCTCTCCAAGACCTTGGTCCATATTTCTGTCTCCTGGGTGGGGAAACTGGAGATGGGTTGAAGATGGTGGTAAGTTACTCACCAGCCCCATGTTTTAATTTAAATAGGGTAAAGGAAGTCCAGAGAACATCTGTGGCTCTCCAGGGTCACTCAACAGATGGAGAGGGGGCAACAATCAGCTTAATGAATGACAGGTGGTGTGTCTAGGTCTTATTTCATTCTAGCAAACGCCCAGCTTCTCCATCAGTACCCTTGACTTGAGTGGGGGGGGGGGCGGGGGCGGGAACATAGAAGAGGAAACAGAGCTTCCCATAGCAGGAAATCTCACCTGGAAGATGACAAGGAGAGCCACCACCAGCACACTTTTCATTGGTTTTCCTGTAGGAGACAAGGCAGGAATGTTATTGCTTGGCAGGGACCATGATTTGTTATTAAAGAGAGCAGTAGAGGGGGAGATGCTGAGAACTTTCATCCCAAGCTCCAGGCACTGCATTTGCTGAAAGAGAACATCAGAACCAGATTGTGCCTTTGAATACCTGGCCAGCTGCCCAGCATCCCTGTCCTCTCCTCCTTTCCATCTTCCTCCACTCCCAGGTCCAGGAAAGAAGCAGGATCACAATGTGATGTGACCACTCCCCACCTCCTGCCCTTGCCTGTCTGAGCTTCCTCTGGTTTGGAGAGCCACTGTAGCCCTGACCTCCCCTTAGACTACTCCAGGGTCTGAGTGTCCCTCCCACTACACGTGATGCAAAAAGAGGAGGCAAGTCCCTCTTGTCAGGTGTGGTCAGGGTGTGTGTGCACACACGTCCAGTGGTGCCTTAGTGCCAGGAACCATTGGCCTAGGAGCATTTTTAGTGTCCCGGTGAGTGGGCAGCACATAGGAAGGTCCGATGTCCCCTGAGGGAGGTGGGCTGAGGAAATAGGGAATTTCACAGGGCTGGCTAGAAGAGTAAGGTTACTTAATGGTCTTTTAACAATGGAAGAGGGCTTTGAGGACCCACTGATTCCCTAACACCCTCTAGTTTACTGACATTTGGCACTGACTGTTGATCCCTTGCCCACCCCCTCAGCCTACTTTTGGGGGAAGAGACCCCTTTCCTTTTAGTTATTGTAACCCAGAATTGAGGACCTACCCAACAACTGTATGCCTGTGAATGAAGGGAGAACGTCCTGCTTGTCTTCCTAAGGAAGGAAATATAAAGGTGGCCCAAAAGGACCCTGAGAGCAGTATGGTAGGATGGGCACTACACACTGATGTAACTACTTTTTTTCTTAACTGAAGTGTATGTGTGTATTATCTCTCATTTAACTTGTTTTCTAATTCCAGGCCTTGGGGGAATGGGTGGGAGGGGAGCAGATTTGACTTCGGGAAGGTACATGGTCAGGAAGTTAGGAGGCTCCCTTGGTTCTGAGCCACAGATGGAGGCCTAGGGTTATCACAAGGCCTGGATGTGCCACACAGCTGCTTGGTTCTGCTTGTGGCTGAGTATTGGGCCTGCCTGACCACATTTCCTCCTGAGGCCCAAGCAAGGAGGACAGTGGACAGAGTAGTATATGTAGAAGTTTTACTGCTCCTGCCAGTTTGGGAGCATCCCCAGGGCATCAGCAGTACCTTTTTTGCCTTTGTAGCCCCTCACTGTCCCCCGAGCTTCACTTCCCAGTCAGAGTCTAGTACATAGGAGAGTCAGTCCTTGTGATGCCACACGTGAATGCTAAGGCAGGACCTGCAGGCCTGCCACAGCTCTAGTCTTTGTAGGGACCCACCCTGCTCCAGGCATCTCCTGGAGGTTGGGGGCCCTCTGGAGGATGGGGAAGCAGCACAGAGGTTCCTTGTCCTTGGCCACAGCGCCACCTGCTGGAACCCTAGTTGCATGACACCCAGGATGCCGCACGACTGGTGGAATGGCTGAGGCTGGAATTCAGGACTTGGGCGTTCCTAGGGCAGGGAAGAAGGGCATCACGCCACATAGATAAATCACTATTTCTCCCACCTCAAGCATATTAACTGCGCTACTGCTAGACACGTCCTCTGAAAGCACAGCTCTGATACCAACCCCCACTGCACCTTCATCTTAAATCTTTTGTACCCAGCACTTCATGCTTAGTCCGGCGGACATGCCCTCCACTGTCTACTTGAACCTGCCTTCTTAGCAGCATCTCCTATTTCTGGGGACCAGTAATCACTGTCCCCTCATCCCCAGCTTGCACCTGAGCTTTTGCAGATCCAGTAGGAATGAATCACTGTGCAACCTTTATCTGCCCTCTCTCACTCCCTGTTTCTTACTGAACTGACTCTTGAGCCCCTGAGTTTGAGGCCATGTGTCTGTGCTTAACCACATTTTCTTCAGGGTCCAGTGCACTGCCTGCTCTCCTCTGACTCATCTTGGGGTTCAGCGTTCGAGGTTTCTTTCAACACGTCAAAGTCTTTCAGTTACTCTAGAGAAAGCCTATTCTGACTGTCAGTGAGAACGAGAAACCTCAGAGTTTTGATAAGCCACAATAGGTGAAATACAAGGAGCAAGCACTGTTTCTGTTTTACTCTGTCTGTCCCTTCTCCTGGGCCCGCTCTCATTCTTTTTGTTGTGGGGTAGGGGACCTGAGGCGTGTGTGTGTTGTAGGTGTGTTGGACATAGGGGACAAGCAGGGGTCTAGTAGGGCCAGAACAGGCCATTTTCAAGACAGATAACAGAGGAACTTAGGGGAATTCTGGTGTGTGGCAGGAGGATCTGGTCAATGGCCATGAGTCAGATCAGGCCTGTCTGTTATAAAGTCATAAAGTAACTGGTTTTGGGCAGCAGTTTTAGTGGGACCAATGAAGTTGGGAATCTTGGGGGTTAAGAAGTGGTTGGGCTAGGTGCTGGTGTTTTCTGAGTTATTGAGTTTACTGTAATGATCATCATGAAAAGAAAATTCCCTAGAACTACAACCTGAGCCCCCAGGCTGAGAAGTTGCCTGTCTGGGAGGAGAGGATTGCTGGCTGGCTGTGCCTGCAAGTCCTAAAACTTTCAGAGCCTTTTCCTAAACTCTATGCCTTTTCCTTCCTGAATTTTTTCACTTATCAGCACAAGTTTGCTCTTTGTTTGGGTCAGGAGAGGGGCAAGAGTAGGGAGAGAAAATGAGAGGCTTGGAGGACCCTCTTTCATGCAGTAGTCAGGGATGTGAGAACTGGTTGGATCTTGTGGTCACCATGATACCAACTGCTTTATCCAATGACAAAATTTGTATTTATTGAGCTCTCAATCTGTACCAAACTGTTCACATGTATAATCTCATTTCTTCCTCAGAAATTCTCTGTGAGGTGGGTACATCAATCATCCTCATTTACCCACGAGGAAACAGAAAGAGAGTTAAGATTAGCATCTTCCCAGAGTCACCCGCCTGGTCAGTAGCGGAGCCGGGCTTTGAACCATCCTACTCTGGAAACTGCACTTGCGACTATTCTTTTGTGTTGTCACTTAGTCTGCATGCATCTTTCCTTACTGACATCTTGTAAGCTACCCCCTGTGATTCTCATTCTATGTGCCAGGAAAACAGAAGCCCTGAAATGTTAAGTCACTAGTCTGGTGTTACACAGCTGCTCAGAGATGGATCTAAGGTGTGAATGAGACAGCCAGGCTCAGCCTCTCACTACTGCATCATACTACATTTCTGATGAGCCTGCTGTGTGCAGGGTCCTCTGTGAAGCATGAAGGCAGCCCTCACTCTCCCTCCCCCCATTGGCTACCCACTTCTGATGCTTCTATCCTTGAGTTCTCTCAGAGCTGACACTGCCTCTGGCTTTGCTGCCCTTTTGCTTTTCCCCAAACACCAGTCTCATCTTTGAACTCACTTAATCGAAATTCTTCAGTGGCTCCCCATAGCTGTTGGGGTGAGGTACAGACGACTCAGTGATTCCACATGGAGTTGTATAAGAATTGGCCCAAATGGTACCTTCAACCTCCTTTCCCATCGTCACCTTGGCATGGCTCCTTCTCTCTGCTTCTCGCCACTTGTTTTTTTCTTGTCTTTCTCACATTTGCCAGAACTGACCACCCATGAGCCTGAGGCTGAGTTTCCAGGCTATCATGCTATGTGGAATTTTTAAACATTGAATTTGGGTGACATTAGGTGTGGCATGCACACCCTGGTTTATCCTCTACTCCCCTCTACTTCCTATAGCTTAGGTTCTCTTCCTCATTTATTCACCTTATTGGCTTCTGATGGCAGTAGAGTTAGACATCTCTGCCATGTCTTAGACCCCTTGTTCTTCCTCATTTGGTTTGACAACTCCTATACACCCTTCAAAACTCAAATTAAATGCTTTGCTGATCTATGCTCACAATTCTTGTCTTGTTTGTCCTTATCCTCATTAATGCCGTATCTTGCTTTGTCACAGCAACTCATTGACATATATGTCTCTTTCTCCACCAAACCAGTCATCTCTGAATTCCTCAATCAATGATATAGTTGTCTGAAAGAAAGCACCAGGCAAAGAGGAGAGGTTTTTCCATAGCTACCCCCAGGCTGCAGCATTGCTCTTCTCCATAGCCAAGTTGCTGGAAGACCAGGAGGGATTGGCCTTGAATTTCTTCAGCATCCTCCTCTGCCACCATTTATGGTCAAGCTGTGATACACAAGTGTCTCATGGGTTCATTTTTCTTTTCTCTGCTTTTGAGAATTCTGACTGAGATCTGTGGCCCCATTTCTTGAAGGTAGGGAGGATGCCTCTGGGCTGCTCATTCAAATCATGAAAAAGACTGTCTCAGCCTTGGTTTGGAGTTTTCATTTTGTGTAACAGAAACCCTGTCTCCTCACACATCTTGCTCCCTGCTGGGCTGGCAAAGAGCAGAAAAACAGATACTTCGTGGCCCACCCGCCCTTCCAACGGCCCAGAGTCCGTTTTGAGCAAAGCTTCTTAGTGGCTTCCCTTCCTACCAACATTTTGGGTTCAGTCGTTGGTTCTCTCAAGTTGAGTGGAGAAGTGAGAACATCCCTTCCTCCAGGGCCACAGGTTGTCCCCACTCCCTGCATCAAAGCTCAGGTGTCCAGTACCCCAAACCTTGTGCAGGGAAGACACTGAAGGATGTGCTGGAGGCAGTGGGGGTCCATCCTTCCCTCTCTGAGTTAAGACATGTGGATGGCTTGAAATTGGCTGATGACTGAAGCCACCTGGTGTGGGAGAATTTACACTATGGAAACTGGCAAGTGCTACAAATTCAGAGCCTTTTCTCCATCCTGGGGGCCACCCTCTAAGGGTCAGTATCAGGAGGCCAGAGGTCTTCCAGTGGATGGTGTGGGTGCTCTGGGACTGTGCCAATGAAGGTGCTTATTTGGGGAGTGGGTTTGGAGAGCAGGCTGGCTGAGAGGAGAAGCTGGTAGAGGTTTTCAAAAACTAAAATTTACTTGGAGTCTTTCATTCATTTCCACAAACATTTTCCATCACATCCCCAAAGCTCCTGGGATGTACAGATGTAAGAATCAGATGCTGCCTTCCACAATTTCAGTCACTGGGTGGGGTGACTACTTTATTCATTCCATAGCTGTTCACTGCATCCAGACCCAGGGTTCAAGGTGGGCGGGGAAGGCAGAGATGAAGGTGAGGGCTGTGGTGTGGTGGGGAGAGGAGTGAGGGAAGCCCAGGGAACCTTCACTTTTTAAAGCCAACCCCTTGTGGCTTTGAGGCCACCGTGGTGCTTCACTTGCTGTTGAGACAAGCCATCTAGGAACCTGGCCTTCTTAGCCTCAGCTAGGTCTGACTTTGCAGCTGAGATTCATAACTGGGGTGTCTGGAGCTGGATGACCCACTCAGCACCCCTTGGGGCCCCCCTCACATCCTCTCTAGTTAAGCCTGACGTTAGACCAGAAGATCTTTTTACAGAGAGAAGCTGGCTGCCTGGCTGGAATACATGCAATTTCCTGGGGATAGGGGCTGTGCTGGAGGGCTGGCTATGACTTCTTCAAGTTAAATGCCCCTGACCATCTTATTTCACATTGTCCACCCATCCCGAACTTGCAAGAAGTAGCAGAAAAGCCAGTACCAAGCCGGTGAGATGTGCAGCAGAGAGAAAACAACAGTAGCTCAAATTTGCATTGCATGGTGCTATTGGCACCATGCCGTCACCTTGAATTTGCTCCTCCTCACACCCCAAGAAGATTAGGATTTAAATCTCAATTTAGCAGGGGACAATGGAGGGAACCAAAGGAGCGAAGTGTCCTGAGTCCTCCCAGGAGAATTTCCCCTGATGAAATGGGTTACCAGAGGTACCACAGGGCCTTCCTCATCACCCCAAGCTGAGAACGGTTCTGACCAGGTCAACAAGTCCAGACCTGTCACTTTTTTCATTCTCTGCTGTTTTAGAAAGAGACCACCTCAGTCCCCTTTTTCCTTTTTGGCATTCTCTAGAAGCAACCACCAATTTCCACCAAACCTCATGTTGCCCCATGCCTTCCACCCCTCACCCCACCTTCATCCCACAGGGTCTGCCTGGGTATGCAAGACCCAGGGACTGTTCCTTCTTACTCACCCAGATCCATGACACTCTCTGGGCGCTGAAACCACACAGGAAGGCTGTGCCCGCGTCTCTGTCTCAAGCTACCCCTGTCTGGGGAGGAAGTGGTTCCAGCCCCTTTTAAGTTGTGAGAAGAGCCCACCCTCTTCTCTGCCCCTCCTACCCCTGCTCCTCCCTTCACGCCTCACTGCCTCACTCATTGCCTCACTCTGACACCAATGGGTATGAGAAAGGTGACAGAGTGAAGCCCCACATGCTGGTCATAAGATCCTGAATCATCAGGTCCTTTATGTTCAAAAACCCCCCCTGTGCCACCTGGCAGAGCCTAGGTGGGGGGCTATTTATCAAATCAATACTTGTTTGTAGCAAGAGTATCACATGCCAGGCTGTGGGTAGAGGCTGCAGCATCAGAGCGATGCGCCTTCATCCTTCCCTTTGTTTTGAATGAAACTCTGATTGTCAGTATCCACTCAGCCAATAGCAATTCTCTCAGAAGCCAGCAGAGGCCAGAGAGAAGAGCATGGGAGGGATCCACCTGTATCACCTGCACGAAGCTCCTTGGGCAAGCGGTCACACAGGGGTGCAACTGCAGGCAAGGCTTCAATGATACAACCATAAAGTGAAAGTTTGTTTGTTTTTAGTATTTACAGATCCTGGGGTGGGAGGGAGGTACAAAGCATGCCCTCCTTACTTGTGGAGGTCAGGATCTAAATCTGAGAGCATGCAAAGACACCAGTGAGCCAATGTCTTTATTGGGTTTAGGACATTATGTAAAGTCATTCCCTTCCATCCTACCCCCCAGCCCCTCCCCTGGTACCTTTAATTGGTGAATTTAAGGCAAGCAGGCATGGAGGTCATGCTGTGACTGTGAGCAATTATCTGAATGGTCCACTTAAAGGACACAGAGAACCAAGCAAGGTGGTTCACAGCTATAATCCCAGCTACACGGGAGGCAGAATCTGGTGGATTGAATTTCAAGGCCAGCCCAGGCAAAAAGTCATTGAGACTCATCTCAACAAATAAACCAAATGTGGTGTTGCTGACCTGTCATCCCAGCTACTCTGGACCTGGATCATGGTCCAGGCTGGCCCCAGGCAAATGAGAGGCCCTACCTGGAAAATAACTGAAGCAAAAAGGGCTGGGGTGTGGCTCAAGTGGTAGAGCTCCTGCCTAGCAAGTTCAAGACCCTGAATTCAAACTTCAGTAGTGCCAATAAAAAATAAAAAAAGCTTCAAGAAAGAGGAGAGATGCTTCTGGTATCTCTCTCTCTCCCTCTCTCTCTCTCTCTTTCTCTCTTTCTCTCTTTAATCTCTGGCCACTTACTGGAGCCATTCCAGTGGGAAGATAGTATTGGACGCTATGTCAAAGGTGACTGAGACTTGCTCCTAGTACAAGAAACTTATATTTAAAAACAGATGCTGTGGCATCATAAAATTGTAAGCACTTTTTATTGCCTTGTCCTGGCTGGTGTCAGAGGGGGTACATATCCCAGACTGCTCTCCTGGCTTCTGGGCAGATTTGGTCAATAGGAGGCCCTGACAAATGATGGAAGGTAGAAGGGAAGTGATGAGCCAAGATGTATCTTTTCCTTTTTTTTTTTTTTAAAGACAGTTTTATTTAGATATAATTCATACCATAAAATTCACCTTTTTAAAGTATACAAGTCATGGGTTTTTATATATTCACAGAGTTGTACAAATATCCCCACAATCAATTTTAGAGCATTGTTTAGTCATGCTTCCCCATCAGAATTGTTAACAGCGACCCTCTATTTCTTCTCCACCCTTGCCTGAAGCCCCTCCTAGCCATTGTTCCACTTTCTGCCTCTATAAATTTGCACATGCTGGACGTTTCACATAAATAGAAACACAGAATATGTAAATATGTGTCCTTTGTGTCTGGCTTCCTTCTTCCTTTCTTTTTGGCAGTACTGGAGTTTGAATTCAGGGCTCTGTGCTTGCTAGGCAGGTACTCTACTACTTGAGCCATTCCTGTAGCTCTAGCTTCTTTCAATCATCATTTTCAAGGTTCATCCATGTCGTATATTTCAGGTCCTCATTCATTTTTGTGACTAAATAATATTCTATTGTGTGGATGTACCACATCTGGTTTATCCTTTATCAGTTGGATCTTTGGGTTGTGTCTCCTATTTAGCTATTCTGAACAATGATACTATGAATATTTATGTACAAATTTTTGGGCAGATAAAGGTTTTTATTTCTCTCGAGTCTATGCCTAGGAGTGGAATTGTTGGGTCATACAGTGATATACATTTAAATGGTTTGAAGAACTTTCAAACTGTTTTCTACATCAACGTGTATGAAGGTTCTACATATTCAAAATTTGTTATTGTTCGTGCTTTTGATTCTTTTCATCCTAGTGGTATGAAATGTTATCTCATCATGGTTTTGATTTGCATTTTCCTACTGACTACTAATGTTGAGGATCTTTTTATGTGCTTATTGACCATGTGTATATTTTCTATGAAGAAAATACAAATTCTTTGTCCCTTTAAAAATTTGGATTAATAATCTGGGTGCTAAGGACTCATGTTTATAATCTTAGCTATTGGGAGGCTGAGATCGGGAAGATCATAGTTCAAGGCCAGCCCGGGCAAATAGTTCATGAGATTCCATTTCCAAAATAGCCAGAGCAAAATGGATTGGAGGTGTGGCTCAAGCATTACAGCACCTGCTTTGCCAGTGGGAATCCCTGAGTTCAAACCCCAGTCCCACCAAAAACAAAACAACAAAAACCAAAGGGTTATTTGTTTATTTATTTGTAAGACAAGGTCTAGCCATATAGAGCACACTGGCTTCAAATTTGTGATCCCCCCCTCTCTCAGACTCCTCAGTGTTGGGATTATGGGTATTTGCCACCATGCCTGGGAATTTTAATGTTTTCGTGGTTCTGTTGGTCCTTTGTCTTTGTTTTTCTTTCCAGTGGGTATTGGGGATTGAAACCAGGGCCTTGCATATTCAAGGAAAACCATCTATTCCCTTTCTTGCACTGCTAGGTTTTAGTTTTAGTTTAGTGTTTTTTTTTTTTTTTGTACTTTTTTTTGGGGGGGGGTTTGGGAGGATGCAGTTTCTTTTTCTTTTGACACTTGTGCTTTTCGTGTTATATCTTAGAAACTATTATCTAATTCAAGTTTACCAAGATTTATTCTTATGTCTTTTTAGAGTTTTATAGTTTAAGCTCTTATATTTAGGTCTGACCCATTTTGAGCAATATATTTTGTATATGATATGAGGTCAGGGGGTTCACCTTTGTTCCTTATTGTGAATGCCTAGTTTTGCCAATTCTTTCCTCATTGAACTGTCTGGACATCTATGTTGAAAAATCACTTGGTCATAAATGCAATGGTTTATTTATGAACTTTCAATTTCATTCTATCTGTCCTGATGATCAGCCTGTCTTTGAAATTGGGATGTGTGACTGCTCCAACTTCATTTTTCTTTTTAAATGTTGTTTTGGCTAATCTGGGTCTCTTTTTCCTTTTCATGTGAATTTTAGGGTCAGCTTGTCGATTTTGGCAATAAAAACAGCAGGAATTGTGATAGAGATTGCACTGAATCTATATCAGTTTAGGGAATACTGCCACCCTAACTATGTTAAATCTTCTAGTTGATGAACATGGGATACAGTTTCATTTATTTAGGTTTTTTTCTTTAAGCTTTTCAATGTTTTGTGGTTTTCAGTGTGTACTTCTTTGGTTAAATTTATCCCTAAGTATTTCATTCTTTTTTTTTTAACGTTCAAGAAATCTAATTTTATTTGTTCTTTCCAAGCTTAAAATAGGTGGTAAGAAATGACAGATGACTTTACAAAGTACTGATAGCATATATGTAGTTTCTGATATCTAGAATGGCATTATTTTGCAATAGTTTAAGGATTATGTTTTTATTGTAACTAAATATATAAATAAATTGCAAAGCTTTTATACCATTTCAGGAGGCATATAAAAAATGAATGCTCAGAGAGAAGATTTATACAAATCTAAGTGACTATAACCAGAAATGTTATGCATGGGGACTTCTAGCATCAAATTTTAATGGACAGAAATAAAATCAGAATCTAGTTCTTAAAGTTTAGAAAAACAAGGATTTCTTAAAATTTTGATCTGCTCTTAATAAAATTTATAAAAAGTACTAGCTTAAAAGAATAAAGAGTTTTGTACATCAAGATAATTTCTCAAGCCAGGTGTCAGGGTACATGCCTGTAATTCTAGAACTTGGGAGACTGAGGCAGGAAGATTGTGAGTTCAAGGATAGCCTGGGTACCTAGTGAGATCCTGTCTCAAAAATGAAAAAGTGAAAAAAAAAAAGAACAAAAAGATAATCCCTTGTGTTTTCTTAGATTTTTGATTGTTTAGGGAAATTAAATCTTAAGAATATTAAAGGTCTGATGGAGTGGCTTAAGTAGTAATGCACCTGCCTAGCAAGCATGAAGCCCTGAGTTCAAACCCCAGAACCACCAAAAACCAACCAACCAAAATAATCAGAACAGAATGGACCTGAGATATGGCTCAAGTGGTAGAATGCCTGCTTTGCCAGTGCAAAACCCTGAGTTCAAACCCTAGTATCACCAAAAAAAAGAAAAGAAAAGAAAAGAAAGAAAATGAAAGCATTACTCATTTTAAGGTCTTTTAATTGAAGTTTTATAATATATATGTTTTGCTGATACAAGTTTTATAAAATTTTAAAAGCCTGATGGCCCTAATATAACACTATCATGATTATTGTCTTGACATGATATAAAAGAACTTAAAGTATGTTGTGGTATTTTATTTTTTGATGCTATTATAAATGAAATTATTTGTTTCTTTTTTTTGGCTAAAATAACAGGAATTTAATCTTGGGGCCTCACACTTGCTAGGCAGGTGCTGTACAACTTGAGCCACATCCATGCACTGTACTTTTTAGGTAAGGTCTTACATTTTTGCTTGGGTTGGCTTTGAACTGTGACCGAGCTTATGTGCCACCACGCTCAGTTTATTGCTTGACATAGGGTCTCGATACCTCGATACCTTCCCCCCTACCCCGGGATGGCTTCAAACTTCTATTCTCCAGATCACCACCTCC